ATCTGTAATAGTATAGTATTCATGTTTTATAAATATAATGAAATATTGTTTATACACCTGAAATCTTTCTTGCTGCAATTATAGGATGGATGAGCTACGCTTTCCTGAGCGGTTGCATCAGACAATTAAGAACCATCATGCTGGAAATGCATAAGTAACTACTTAATTTGTGATGGATCGAGGTGATAAAAGTAGCCCTTTCAAATTCTCATCAGGAGAAGTTGGTGCACTCTAGTTTCAGACAACTAAATCTCTTGGGGACGCATACATTTTCTATTATATTTGTCCACCAATTGTTGTCTCGTCATTGGTGACATGTAAGAATTATGTGCTATGGTTGCTTTTAGATAGGAGCTAATTCGGTATGAGATTGGATAATTCACTTTAGTTTCCAAGCATAATTGTGGAATACCTACAATTAATGGTTTGGGAGTAAAGTTTGGGTCATAAGCAAAAAAGAAAATGTAAAGTTGGAGATGTGGCTTTTTGGAAAGCATTTTTGAAAGTGGGTGCTTGTGTTTTCAGCTTACATTATTGTTATATGTTTCAATCTATGTCTTCTCGTTAATGTAATTTGCATGCTACTTGTGTTTATCATGTTCACATTTTATTCAGTATCAACTTTGGGACGAAACTAAAGTAGGCTCCTATTCACTAACTTGCATCCCCAAATTCTTTATTTCATTGTGAAACACACTAAAGTGAACGGTTGATATGTTTTCGTCTAGGTTACCATGCTATAGTATGTTACCTATAGTACAATAAATTTCACTTAGTTTCGCGACTCCATGCATACTATATTGTTCTCGTGTTTAGTATACTCACAAAATGGATAAAAATATTTCTTTTACTTATTAGTGCACAACTCTCTGAAAGGTATAAATAAAGTATTTGTTCATTTTAATTCCTAACCTTATGCCTACATTGTTGTCTTCCCATTGCGTTTTAACATTCCCTTTTAACCATAGATGTCTTCCATTACACATCCTACATGTACTATGTATAGCCACCAAATATGTTTCCCTTGTACTTGGTTTTTTCTTGGGGTATGTGTTTGTACTACGCAGCAACGCCGTGTCAAAGAGATGCAGTTTTATTATGTGTTTATTCTTTCATCGAACTAAACATTCGTGTTGTATCTCTTCATTGTATGACTATACTATATGTTTTATAGTATAGTAACGGTTCTTAAATATTAGCCGCATATATGTTTTGTGTAACAAAAAAGTACGTTTGTATTGTGACATAGTAAAAAACTTTCATTACTATATTATTGTATTTTAATATAGTATAAATGTCAACGGGCACACGCAACCATTAGTTTCCATATGGTTCTTCCATATTAGCTTCCACCATTTGGGACCTTGTTAGTTCACTACTTATAGACTTTGTTTCTTGTGGCGGCAGGTAACACATTGCCGCAATTGATAAATCCAAGTGTGGTTACTTCTTGTACATAATATAGTCAAATAAACAGATCATTTGTTTCCATTCGACTATACTATGATATGTATTGTATAGTATAAAATCATATGGTGTTTTGTGCTGCTTGTGATATACTATATGGCATATAGGATAGTAATATGTACCAGTGTTCATTTCATGTTAGGTCAATACATCTCTAATATCATAAGTCTCTAATTTCACGTTATTTACATTCATATAAAGATGATAGAATAAATACAAGCCACATAAAACAAATACGAGAATTTAACCTTTTAAAACTAAAAGGTTTGTGTTATGATAAATATGTGCCAGAAATGAAGAGAAAAATGGAGTACATGTCTTTTACCTTCCATCATTATCTGAGAAGAGTAAGAATATAGTTTTGTATTGTTTACATGCTTAGATGTTGCGTCTCAAAGCAACTGAACATTGACTTTTATGTAGCTACTGAAGTGTCAAGATAGTATAGCCCTTGCGGATGGTAGGCAATGTTGTACATTTGTAAAAATATATCCATTAATATATTTTGCGGACATCGCATTGTTTCTCAGCTAATCATACTATATTATATTTACAATAGTATAGTTTCTTATAATTGGTGTTTTGAACATTTCCTTTTAAATCTTTAACTATAAATCTAAACTTTGACATCGACGTTAGGGTTTAGATGGTCTAGGATTAGGGTTTAGATGGTCTAGTATTAGGGTTTAGGGTTTAAGGTTTATGGGTTAGGGTTTAGGGGTTTAAGGTGTACGTGTTAGGGTTTAGGGTTTAGGGGTTAGGGGTTAGGGCTTAGGGTTTAGCCTCTATTTGTGATCCTTTCTTTTGCAACACATATGAAATTAAAACCATATGGACCTTAGCGGACATCACATTTGTTTCAAAGCAATTGAACCTTGAACTTTATGTACTCACTCTAGTGTCGACCTAGTTGCCTAACCGCCTTTCACATTCTATACTATATCACCAATAGTATATCCCATTTGTTTCCACTAGTATTTCCCTTATATGTTATCTTTCATATTTGTCTCTTATATAGTACAGTCTAACATTTTGAAACCTTTTATGTTGCCAACTTGTATAATTTGATCATATTCTATTCGAATCCACTTTAGAACCCCCAAATACGTCTATGTTTGGTGTATACTATACAAGATATACTATAGTATAGTTTGTACTATATCCATACATTCCAGTTGTGATTGTTTACTAACGTCATTTACATTGTATATCCTCAGTGTCTAAAGTATATCATATATATTATAGTATATTGTTTTCTATTGCTCATATCACCGATAGTATATCACATTTGTTCCCACTAGTATTTCCCTCATATGTTATCTTTCATATTTGTCTCTTATATAGTACAGTCTAACATTTTCAAACCTTTTATGTTGCCAACTTGTATAATTTGATCATATTATATTCGAATCCACTTTAGAACCCTCAAATACGTCTATGCTTTTGGTGTATACTATACAAGATATACTATAGTATAGTTTGTACTATATCCATACATTCCAGTTGTGATTTTTTACTAACGTTATTTACATTGTATATCCTCAGTGTCTAAAGTATATCATATATATTATAGTATATTGTTTTCTATTGCTCATACCAGTACATGCCACGTAGCGTTACCATACACCTGATTGTTATAAGAAAAGTGTTACAGTATCAGTGTCTCACTTGCTTCTTAAAGACGCGTAGCGTCTGATAGGAGAAAATCGTCCAAAAGCAACGCTGATTGTCACATTATACTTACTATGGTTATATTCTTTATTTTTGTATCTGTTATGAATATTCGTCAAATTCACTCTTTAAAATATGAGAAAGTGTATTTTTTTCTGATTGTTTTATACCTTCAAATTTTGATTAATTTGAATTTTTGCTACTATATGAAGAAAAGAGTTAAATTTTGGACTTTATATCTTTTTAGGATAGTTTCAGCGATTTTCTAAGTTCTTTTGTTTTTTTTGGGAAAATCTTAATAATATTTTCTCTCCATCTGCCCATTTATTGTCTGTGTCCCTTATTTGATTGCTGAGAAACCGCGAGAAAAAACGAGTCAAGCCCTCGGATGCCCTTTTACAAAAAAATTAAATCACGTATACCCTTCATTAATCTTCATATCCTTCAACATTTAATGAAAATCCCAAATAAATCCTTCTCAAACGATCAAAACTAAACAAAAAAATCCCCCTATGGATCAGTGAACCCATGGGTAAATATTTAAATTCTATATGTTTCAAATTCAAAAAAAGAAAATTTAAAATCGTTTTAATCATATTTTGATGATTTTCAGAAAAATATGAAAAAACAGTTTTTTGATTTTTGAAATATTTTATCCAATTCTATAAATCATACAAAAATATTGATGTTTCCAGTTTAATTTTATGATTTTTCGTTTGATATATAATATTAAAAGAAAAAAGTGAGGACATTTTAGTTTTAAATTTCACATCCAAGGGATCTAGAGACAATTACTCAGAAAAAACCCATCTTTTCTTAAAATATTTTTTCTTCTTCCAGTCGTTTCTGCTTTCAGATTCATAGCATTTTCACAGGAATTTTCTTAGCTCAAAGGTTCGTCTTTTCATTTGTAAAGATTACACATTTAACAATTTCTCCCCTCTCTGTTCTTATTATGAGAATGGAATCGTTTTTATCAAGTTCAGGGAAAGTTTATTATATAATAAAATGCCTGACCCAGTTTTAAAAACTTGATTTTAAAAAAAAACTTCTTCTGGCCTTTTTTGGAATGGGTACTTTTTGTTTTTGCTTAAAGGCTTGGTTACTTTGTTCTGTGGGTGGATTTTGGTTGAGAATGACAATGATTTGTCAAACTTTACGCGCAATAGTAGTAATAGTAGTGGTGGGTCTCAAACATGTTTTCTCTATTGTCTATATCCTTGCAACTGTGTAATGTTCACTTCTAAACCATACACATATGTATATTAGTGGCAATACTTTTCAATCTTATTTATATATATATATGTATCTGTCTTCTTTCAATGTGTGTTTTACCTTTTTCTGGAATGTAATTTCACAACAGTCAGTTTCTCTCCAAGCGTGTGTATTATCTGCAGAACCATTATGTGTGTGTCTGATACTTCATACTTGATATGTGGGGTTTTGGAATTCTTTGGCTCTATCCTTGAGCTTGGTAAAATGGTGAAAGAGTGAGAGTTTTTGTATCTTGGCACTCTGAAGAAATTCTAGGACAAATATTCCCAAATTGTATGCCTTCGGTAGCAGCATCATAAACTCGTTGCAAAATTGTATTACAAAGTCAAGTATTTTCATGAATCATGTTGTTTTCTTGATTATTCTTTCATTACAACTTGTCAGGAAAATACAAAACAGGAACCTTTTGTTTGTTTCTCATTTTTGATTAGTAGCTTCAGGCCAATATGGTAGTATCCAATGTTTTCCTGTCATAACGTAAGACAATGCCTTCATTATATTTCTTTTTATTTTGAATTGACAGAACAATTTCTCTAGTTCACACTTAAGTCAAGTATTGGGCTTAACTGGTTCTTTTTCATTCTCTCTTGGCATCTTTATTTCAGGGTCCTTGAGGAAAAGGATTCTCAACTGTGCTGCGTCTTCTATCCACAATCCGTTGAGGAACTTGGGGATCTATATATAGTTTTCTTGTAACACCTGGTGTTTTGTTATGGACATAAAATCTGGTCACTCGTCTCCTGTAATGACTGATTCTCCACCAATAAGCAACTCAAGATTAACCATTCGTCAGAACAGACTACCATACTCAGCAGCAGCAGCCACGGCCCTCTCACAGAACAACAATCTTTTGCTAACCGTTCCCAGAAAGAAAGCTGGGATTCTTGATGATGTTAAGTCTAGTAGTTGGCTTGATGCAATGAAATCTTCTTCTCCTCCTCCGGCAATACTTAACAAAGACAACATTAGCAGCGATGCTGCTGACATGAGTTATGGCGAATGGACGGTCTGTCCCCTTATGGTTTCACTTTTATTACTGAACACTACTCCCTTCTTATGATCTTTGATTATCTTCTCTCTGTCTTATATTCCTGTTTTTAGCAGCTCAAGTATCCATCAGCTCTTACTACTTTTGAGAAAATCATGAGTTTTGCAAAAGGGAAAAGAATAGCATTGTTTCTTGATTATGACGGCACACTTTCCCCTATAGTAGAGGAACCTGATTGCGCCTACATGTCAAATGCTGTAAGTTGTTTTTTTCTTTTTCTAACTTGTCTTCAAATGCTAAAACAGATCCTTCTTTATCTTAAATGAATCATCTGGTTTTATGTCCATTTTACATGTTTAGATGCGTACTGCAGTGCAAAACGTTGCCAAGTACTTCCCAACCGCGATCATTAGTGGAAGAAGCCGTGATAAGGTAATAATGTCTGCTACTTATCTTCACCTTCTTCATCAAGAATGTAATAGTCAAATCATTTTTTTTTTGCTCAGGTGTATGAGTTTGTTGGACTGAGTGAACTTTATTACGCGGGAAGCCATGGAATGGACATTATGAGTCCTACAGGAGAATCTTTAAACCATAAACATCTCATCCGTAGTACTGTATCAGTTAATGAAGAGGTTTTGTTTTCTTGCTTTGTTTTGTATGTTTTCTGCAATATCAATTTATACATCAGATTCTAGAAATGTGATTTTTGGCAAACTTTTAGGGGAAAGATGTAAGTCTGTTCCAACCTGCTAGCGAGTTTCTACCAATGATCGATAAGGTATTCATAATGCATCTTCTAATGTATAGCTTAGAAACAACAAACAACATCATACTTGATTGTTTATACTCTCAGGTGCTTTTTTTGCTTGTGGAGCGTACAAAAGATATCAAAGGGGTTAAAGTGGAAGACAATAAGTTCTGCATCTCTGTACATTACCGCAATGTAGAAGAAAAGGTTTGTTTTGTTTTTTCCTCAGTTCAATAGCCTGTTTGGTTCCTTTAAACAGATACACTTTTATTTAACAGCTCCTTCTGTCTACAGAACTGGACATTGGTTGCACAACGCGTTGATGATGTCATTAGAACATATCCAAAGCTACGTCTAACACATGGCCGGAAGGTAAAAAAAAACTTCTGAATCTCTAATACAATTCAACAAAAGAAATTTTAATGAATTTCAAACTTCTGATTTTGATTTTGTTTGTTTTTCTTGCTTATAAAGGTTTTAGAGATCCGTCCAGTTATTGACTGGGACAAAGGGAAAGCTGTTACATTTCTACTCGAATCTCTCGGTATCTTATAAACTACTTCCTCCTCTGCTTTTGATCTGAAACTTGGTGAGCCATTGACACCTAAACATTTTTTAGGCCTTAACAATTGTGAGGATGTTCTCCCAATCTATGTCGGGGACGATCGAACAGATGAAGATGCATTTAAGGTTTTATTTTTTATAAACAATTTTAGCTTTAGAACAGCTCCATAAAGAAATAGTTTTCACTTAAGCTGCAAGTAATGTAAGGTATTACGAGATGGACCAAACCACGGTTATGGTGTATTAGTAACTGCTGTGCCTAAAGACAGCAATGCCTTTTACTCGCTTCGTGATCCATCTGAGGTAAACTAATAAATCACTAAACTGAATACTTGAGCCTTAGGTTATGATTTTGATCATGAGTTTGATTTCGCTGCAATATATGTAATCAGGTGATGGAGTTTCTTAAATCATTGGTGACATGGAAGAGATCAATGGGTTAGTAGAAGAAGTAGGAGAAAATGGTTGACTATAAATATATATATATATATATATGGAAGCTAGAAGATTATTGTTATACAGAGGAAATGGAGAAAGAGATGATGCAAAAGTAAAGAATTTAGTTTATCTTTGGTTCTTGTTTGGTGTTTTCAAAGTTGTTTAGATACAGTTGAGATTTTAACCTAACGTCGCCGGAGAAAGAGATCACATGAAGGCTTAAAGCATGCCGGAGATCTATTTTTCTGATCGATATCTCATTTTTTTCTTCCTCTTTCAACTGTACATTTTTCTTTCATCTCGAACAATTGTTTCTATAATCTGGTGCTACTAAATTTTGGACTTAAATTATTTATCTCATTTTGAGTTTCCATTTTATTTATGTGAGACACTTGTTAAAATTGAAGTACTAATATGAACTACTCCTTACAGTAACATTATAATTGCACCTATGCCACTAAAAATAACTAATCATAATTTTTAGTATTAATTATTTTTAACAAAATCTTCCTTTAAAATATAATCAATTAAATTTATTTATGTCAACATTAATAATAATGACAATATATCCTAATAAATTATTTTTAAAGTAAACAATGAATTAATTTTATCAAATAATACAAAATTAATAGGGTTATGTGCAAAATTGACTCAGAAGTCAACCACAAAACTAAGCTATGTTTTTTTTTTCAGATTTTTTGTTTTCTCTGTTTACCTCATAAGTTCACATTATTTACAAAAATGTCATTATTATTTTTTTCAAAAATTATTTTTTTATTTTCTCAATCTCATCATCTTCAAGTATTTACAAGATTGTCATTAGCATCAATACACCAACCACCATGAACAACCAATTTGAAGCTCTTAATGCACCTAAATCGTTATCTCACTCCTTCTTTCTCCATTCTAATAAACTACAAACAAGATCTCTTTCACCTTCTCTCCATATTTATCCAAAAAACTTAAGATTCTGATACTAAAATTTGTATGGTTTAATAAGGCGTTGAAGCTTACGATTCTTGGTGGGACTTTCGTTTGAGATTCTGTGTGTTTGGAGAAGACTTATGTGTGCTACAGAATTTATCTCACTGACTTAAGGTATGAAATCAAGTTTTTCATGATATGTTCGTCCAGGAGAAGTCAAATTTCTGACACATTCCGATCAAATATAAAGCTAACCCGTTTCTCCTAGAAGACTTACATGTAAGTCATCTCGAGTTTTTTTATCAAACAAAAGTTGAACGACATACATGTAAGTCATCTAGGGAAATTGCAAAACTAACTCCGACATTGACCAGAAGACTTCCATGTAAGTCGTCTATAGCCATAGCCAGACGACTTATCTGGAAATTGTCTGGACCAGGCGACTTATTTTATTTTTTTAAACGACTTAATTGTAAGTCGTTTCTTGTTAGTTTTGCAACTGAAATATTAAACAATTTTTTTTCTAGACGACCTACATGATTTTATTCCGAGATTCTGGTCAAACCGAATAAAATCATGGGCAATTTACATGTAAGTTGTCTAGAAAAATATATTTTGTTTAACATTTCAATTACATGTAAGTCGTCTAGATTTTTATTTTTATCAAACAAAGATGGACGACATATATGTAAGTTGTCTAGGTTAAAAATCAATTGCAAAATTAACCTAAATGAACGACTTCTTAGAAATCGTCTAGACGACCTCTGTGGAAGTCATCTGCGTCAATATTTAATAAAATTTCATTTTCTCTAAACCTATGAAGAGTTTTTAATATATTTTTTTTTAATTCATGTGTATTAGTCAATATTATGGCTACTGAATGAAATTTACAACTTAATTGGTGATATTTATGAGGTTACCAACATTCATGTTAATTAAAGTTTCTAGCTAATGTGCTTTTAACTCATACATGTTCTATGTTTGCTAATGTGTTTTTTTTTACGTTTTGCAGATGATTTGTCCTTTACATGCACTGTATGGAGAATGGTTGTTATAAATATAAATATTATAATTTTGTGGTTGACCAATTCAAAGGAGCGAAAATGTTCCTTTTGAAGGAAGGTTCGAGACATGCTAAACGTGTTAAAATGGCTCAAGAAGATTATAACCTGGACATGAACACATAGTCTGTGGAGTTAACCTACTGATTACTAGAAGCAATGATGTATTCCATGGCTCCAGAACCCCATCTTATTCATGTTACAAGTGATATACAATTTCAAAAATTGCTCGAGATAACTAAAACACATGAAGTACATCTTTGAGTATCAAGCAATATGAGAACATTTTCAGAGAAAGGGGATGATTCTGATGATGCTGAGGAAGGGGATGAAGCTGATGAAGATTTGGCTGAACATGAAAATTATGATGGGAAGGAGGATAATAATATCCCTGATGTTTATGAAGCTGTTGATGATGTTGTGGATTACAGTGAGTATGGAAAGGCTAAAGATGAGGATGAGGAAAAATATGATGATATGTATTTTGATGATTTCAAAAGGACATGGTAGTGAAGGAGAAAAATTGAATGCTAACAATATCAATGTCACCAGAGTTTTATTAGTAGGGATGCACTGGTTTCAAAATTGTGGTTGACAGCGGTGGGATTTAGGTTCTCCTTCAGAATATACAAGTCAACGAAATCTTTTCTTGTGGTAACATGTCGTGTTAATGGCTGTGGATTGAAGCTCAGAGCGAGTGTGAAACATGGGAGCAGCACATTTTGGGTTACCAATTATGTGGAAACTCATACATGTTCTGTGAAAGACATAATTGCTCAGCAGAAACACTGAACTCTGAAGTATATTGGTAGGCTTTTCATAGATCGTGTTGGAATTATTGATGGGTTGAATCCTCAACATATATAAAGATGCAATGAAGAACATGTTTAGCATGACACTTGATTACACTACTTCATACAGAGCACTGTTATATGTGCAAGAATTTGTGAGAGGATCAGCGGAAGGTGGGTATGAGTGATTTTCATATTTGGACCAAATCTCCAAAGCAAATCCGGGTTTAATCACTGATATAGAACTTGATTGCCTGAATAGATTTAAGTATCTATTTCTCTCTTTTGGAGCTTCTGTTAGAAGTTTTCAGTATCAGAGAAAGGTCATTGTGGTGGATTGGACTTACCTAAATGGGAAGTATGAAGGTGTTATGTTAGTTGCAGCGCACAAGATAATAATTTTCAGATATTTCCATTGGCTTTGGGGATCATAGATGCTGAAAATGATGAACTTGAGAAAAGTTTCACAAAATTGGCGAGCTGTGTATCTGATCAATATCCTCTGGTGATAGTCTCTGACCAGCACACAGCCATTAAAATTGCATGTGATAAGGTTCCTTGGACAACAGAACATTGTCCGGAGATAAAAAGGGAAGCATCTCTTGTACTTGGTGAAAGGTGTGTTTATTCTCATACACTTTACAATTTTGACTGGTACCTGAATGAGATACGGAGTGCAAACATGAAACTTATATTGTATTTGGAGGATGCTGATGTGAACGTATGGTCAAGGGTTCATTGCCAGGGAGACATGTACAGCATAAAAATGAGCAACATCGTTGAATCTATTAATTCTGCACTGAAGCAAGCTAGAAAATTTCTAATTCAATTCATGTTAGAGTTCATAAGGGAGAAGCTATGTAGGTGGTTTTGGAAAAGGAGAGGCGATACTTTGAGTCTCACAACTCAACATAGTCAGGGGATTGAATACTTGCTTACTGTTCGATCCGAGATAGAAGATACGGTGTCTGTCCAACAAATTGATGGAAGGCGATTCTTTGTGAAAGGTGGCAGAATGGACTATGTTGTTGATTTGGAACTTCGAAAGTGTGATTGTGGTGTCTACGAAGTCTAGAAAAATACATTGCTCTCATGCTATAGCAGCTGGAACATATGCTGGTTTGCATATCTCCACACTTGTATGCCCAGTCTACTCAAAGGATACTTTTTTTGTAGGATACTCAGAGAATATATATCATTGTGCTGGATAACAAGTTGAGGCACACACATTCTTTCCATCAGAAGTAAAGTATGGTCCAGAGAGGCAGAATAAATCAAGATGGTAATCTTGGTTGGAGTTATCGAGGATGAGAGGACGCATACCCCGGAAGCAACACATAGTTTATAGGCGCTCAGACTGCAAAGAAACTGGCCATGCGCGTTGACAATGTAAGAACTGACGTAGACAACCTTCTGGTTAGTTATCCAGAAGACCTTCTGGTTAGTCGCCAGACTTTACTAAAAGTCTTTCGTGTTTTTGAATCTATCTTTCTGCTTATTTTGTTATCTGTGTTATGAACTTATCTGTGTTATGAACTAATTTGTGTTAAGACCTTTTGGTTAGTCGTCCAGACGACTTAACTATATGTGTTATATGTACTTCTCTGTGTTAAGACCTTTTGGTTAGTCGTCCAGACGACTGAACTATATGTGTTATATGTTGTGGATTTCTGTTATGAGCTTATCTGTGCTGTACTTTGATTCTGAATTTGCAATTTAAAAAGGCAACAAATACAACATTACATTATCATGAAAGGTTACTTCACTACCAAACTAATTCCCTACAAAATCCTAGTTTGGTAGGAGGATAGGTTACAAAAAACATCATCATATCCTGACCATGTTCTCATCCCAATCTACAAAAGCATAGAAAAGCATACAAAATAAGTTCAAGGACAAATAACAGATCATACATAGTTACTGCTCATAAGTTGCCAGGTTCGTCATTGTTTGCATTCTCTGCCTCATGGCATTCAGGCGTCTCTTGAAATATATCCACCGCCACCTTCTCCCTGATAGCCCTTGAAGTCTTATCACAAAATTTTGGAAGAAATGACATCCCAAGAGCATTACATTCAATGTACTTTAGAGTGAACACATTACAATCACCAGCTCAGCACTGAGTTACTCCAATGGCCAGTCTCTCATATGTGTATGGCTGCAGTGTGTGTTGGGCACATTGTTCGTCAGAGCCAGCGCACTCAATAAACAGATAAGGGATTATTGTGGTAAAAGGCTTCATTAACTCAGCGAGTTCTCCAGGTTTAATATGTCTAACAATGTTGTCCCAGATGACTATGTGCTTCTTAGAGATTGATATCCATATAACAATCCAATGATCATTCTGGAAGTTTACTAGAGCATATATATCATCCACATCCAATCCCCACACCTTCATAGATTGAAAAAATGATGGTACTAAGCCTGCATGATAGTTCCACGCCCCATCATGGAGTCTTCTTCCTAAACTGTTGTGATCACCCTCCGAACTCTTAAACTTTGGGTACTTGGCCGTCCACTGCCGGGTACTTGGCCGTCCACTGCCGGGTACTTTCACTTTTCTTT